GAGAGAGAGAGAGAGAGAGAGAGAGAGAGAGAGAGAGAGAGAGAGAGAGAGAGACACCCACAGAATTATCGATAGTGCCTTACGTGTCGCATTTAAAACTGATGTCCGTGCAACGGCATACATCCGGCGATTCGTCGGTTTTATCGAAGCAATGTCGCACACCGTCACACAGTCTTTCCGGTGCAGTTAATCTTAAATATTCCGCGCAGGTACAATTTACGGGTTCATCCGTGCCATCCGAGCAATCCACTTTACCGTCGCAGAAGGTGCTCTTCGGCATACACTCTTCGTTACCACATCGCAACATGGTCTTTGCGCATTCTGCACTCACAGGAATGGGAATTTGTAAAAATAAGGGGAGAAACGAAGTAATTATAATATATAACGTATTCGAATTACCATCTGATATTATCGTTAAGGTAATATGACTAAAGGCTATTTCAATCTATATCTTGTAAAAAAGTATAGTGCTGCCTGAGAATATGTAAAATACTCGATAATGTTGAACGCGTTCAAGCTTGTTCGATGAGAAAAAAGGAAAAAAACTACTCACTGCGATTGATGTCGTAAGTCCTCTGAACTCTGTCACATGTGTCCTCCATCTCGTCGACGGCGTCTCGGCAATCCACTATACCGTCGCATACCCGATTCCAAGAAATGCACTGTCCGATATTGCATCGAATACCGTCGCATGTAGCTTCAGCCGTTGGCTGCCACTTTCTGTCTGCGATGCGTGACAATAATTTGATTACGTTGTAAGTGCCTCTCACTTTTGCGAAAACGCGATTTAACTGTGCGATTGTAAATATCGTGACAATATCGCGCTCTCGGGATCAACGGCACAAAGCACGTTGGAAATCTTTGCGCTTTAATAATTTTTACCTAAAATTTGCGTGATGTAAGCTTGGACGTAATCGATGCTCATCAGGTTTCGTGTACTTTGGAAACTACACGGACCATTTTTCTCGTGAAACACAGCCGCGGGATACCACCCCTCCTGACTGTGACAGACTACCGTTCCGGTCCAATCTACGCTTCGCGTGTTGTTACTCTGTGAGCGCGATCCGTTCGATAAAATGCACAAGAGAAGAGAGCGAAAGAAATGATAGATTGTTATACCGAAATATTACAAAGCTACTCACCGAACATTCCAAGCGTGTGCGTTCGACAAAGCAACGGTGACACTTGTCGCAATTTTCAAGGACTGGCTGCAGGAAGACCGAGTGTGTCGTGTATTCCTTGTCCGTGCCAACTGCCACGCACAAATCGTTATCCTCCGGTGGATAAATTCTACGGATAAATCCAATGAATACACGTGTAGAGAGGAACAATGTTGGATATATTGCTTGTGTGTGGACTGGTACGCGAGTTGTGTATGATCGATGTTGAGCACTCACTTCTCCTGTAGAAATAGCGGCAGCACGCGACGGGTAAGATTCACCGCCGTTCTCAAGTGGAGCAACGAGACATTGGAATGTTTTACTTCCTTGATTTCATCAATGACCGATATCTGTTGATAAGGTCCATCGACGTAGAGGTACGAGCGGCTGTAGCCAAGCAGAGCCGTCGTGTAATTCACAGATAACCTGCAATTGGCACATCGTTCACGATCTTTTGTCGACGAGATTGATGATCGAAATCGATCAACGAAAATTGCTCGACGAAACATGATGAATGATCTCAGTAATCCGTGAAAATTATATTTCAGCAATCAAGGCTGAAACGTGAAAACTACGAAAATGCGACTCGTCTCAAATGAAAATCCAGGCAACTCGAGCAATTAAAATCGGAGGAATATTGCAGATTTCGCTCGTACCTGATATCTCTCGTACATTCCAAGTTGGTTAAGATCCAGTCTCGTTTGAGGAGTACGGCCGAGCAACGATAGCGGCCATCGACGAAGATGGTGGCCAGCCACGGCCACAGATAAGTCCGACTTCCAGTTTTCGGATTGACGACCAGGTATGTGTCGGCGCTGCCGCTCAGAACCGGTCTGCAGTGAATCCGCAGAGCCGAACACGGCCCATCTACGTCTATCGCTTCGTAACCCGTGGTATTGTCCCTCCTCCCCCGAGGTCTGACCTCCAGCTTGATCCTGTTCACGTTGACCCTCTCCACCGACTGTATATTCCTACGCGCGCAATCGCCCGTATCTTTGATGGTTAAGCAAGTGTCTCTCGGGTCGTGCGAATTGATCGTATGAAGCTCATACTCATTCATCTCAATTGTGATAGATGACTTTGTGAACCAATGATTTAAAAGTTTCGTACCTGAATCCGAGATATCTGCATACTCTCTCGCCCATTCTCGCTGTTAGAGTATCGTTGTCGCGTGTTTCAGGGCATTCTGTGCGCCACGTTCCGTTTGTATATCTAGCGAGTAAGCCTGCCGCATTTAAGGCCGGCCGATCATCGCTGTCCACATTTACGTATTCTCCGTTGGTCAATGTGACTGAAAATCGATTTTCACAGTCACTCGATGTTTCGCGAAAATGACTCGCGCGAGTACTCACGGCAATCGACCTCGTCCTCTTTTAGAGCGCAATCGTATTTTCCGTCGCACCTACTCTTCACCGGAATGCACGCTTCGCTTCTGCCGCAGTGAAACTCGTCCTCAGTACACGTGCCTGAAATAAGAAGAAACGTCAAGCTGAAGACCATCCTGCTGAGATTATTAGGTTGATGCGAAAGCTTCAATGATGCGAAGCAATAGTATCGGAAGGAGCACCGCAATTCTTTTCATCCGTCTCGTCGTCGCAATCCAGATGTCCGTCGCAAATCGCCGTTGGTTGCGAATTCGACAGGTAGTCCCTGCACATGCAGCCCTCCTCGTCGGTGCCGTCCTCGCAATCCAAGCGCTTGTCGCATCTCTTGTCAATCGTTATAGTTTGTATCAGACTGCAATGCAAATGAGATCAATTATCCTCATTCGTGAAGCTAGCTCCGACTAGCTAGCTCCCACTTTCTTCATCGAATCGGCTCGATCTTTTCGGTTTCAAAACTTGCCTCGTGCACGTGAATGTTGATCTAACGCTCGGCGTTGTCTCGGGCATTGTCGCGTCGACAGTACGTAGAGTCTCGTTATCGTCAATCCGCGCTTGCTCTCCGTTTAAAGTAAGAGTCGTCCCGGTGCGTATCTCTGTAACATAATTTGTTGAAGAAACACGCTATTTCGCGTGCAAACATTTGCACTGTCTCGCAGTACCGTCGGCAGTGTGTTGGCCCATTTTTCTCATCTCCATCTCCGCAAACTCATTATGGGAATCTGATTGTCTGCCTCGCCCATAAGCGTCCGTCACTTGCCAAAGACAGCCGACTTCATCTTCAGCATCCAAACAATCTACGACTTGATCGCAACGTTTCTCTATCGGCAAACACCTTCCGAATTTTCCTTGGCAGCTAAAGCCTGGACATTTGGCCAAGGGTGTACTTTTGTTCGGCATCAGCTCAAATTCTTCTGTAATGTAAATAACTTAATTAACCAACTAGCGCGCTATCGTAAATGAGATCACTTCTTGTGTAGCTTCCATTTTTTTTCCTTGAAACGACAAGAGCCTACTCGATAATAATAATAATAACTCGAGACTGTAGGAAAAGCTGTGAAAATCGTATCGTTCCATCGAAAGCCTCCTACCGATTTGCTTCTGGATCCACCGCATAAAGTAGCTTATTCTTGTGTAAGCGCCGGGCTCGTCAGGCCGTGCGCATCCATTGCCATGGCTGATCACACCCGCCACATAAAACTGCGACTCGAAACTCGGATCTCTGCGCAACGATCGTTTTAGCAGCTTGAGATTATCAGTAATGATAATTTATTACTCGTCGATCGTTACCTGCACATCAAAGGACCGCCGCTGTCACCTTGACACGCGTCGTGACCACCTTGAGGATATCCCGCGCAGATAGTGGCGTCGTTCCGATCGGAAGAATACTTGCATGATGATAAAATCGGCACTTCCACTTCTCGCAACTGATCGGCTAAGGGAGGGCAAAGGAAAAACCGTTTTCTAAAAGTCTCGTCGAGATTTGTACCGGAATTGTAGAGAAATGTAACATTTCGATTTTGCTGAATATCGAATAAACGGACAGGTAAAGCATATCAGCTCGTGCTACTGATTATTGCTCAACGAAATTCGTCTTACTATCTGGTCCAAATTCTTCCATGGCGCCCCATCCAACGACGACGCACATACGAGATTGCGGCGTTGGTTCCAGTTTCCATCCTGAATCCGCCGGTAGACAAGCTTGCCGGACCCACCGATTGAAGAGGAGCTTTTCGTCCAACATAATCAACGCGATATCATTCTGCATGATATGGCTGTTAAAACCAGCGTGTGTTAGCACGTTTTTCGCTTTCCTCCACTGAGCTGTCGGCGAGAATGAAAACCGCCTGAGCGCGCCAGCTTGCACCTCGTAATAATGCTTCTCGTACCTGGAGATTGTAAGCGGACACGGATTCCCAATCGAGGAAAAGGATATAATCGTGATTTCTTTTGCGAACAAATTAGTTGACTTTAAAGCGACTCACTCGATCATGCAATGAGCCGCAGTGAGTATCCAGACCTCGGTGAGGATGACACCGTCGCAGTGGAAATTGCCGTCCTCGTAAATTGCGACTAAGAAAGGCCAATCCTTAGGTTCGCTCGCCCGACCACCAACCACCCCCAATAACGGCTCGACGAGCCGAGTGTCGTTCCGATCTTCTTTATTCTCCTCGACAGCCGAATACTTTTCGTCCAACAATTTGAGTGTTTCCAGGTAAAGTTCATCAAAGTAGCTCCTTGCTGTCGTGTCGGAACGGGTGGATGTCAGGAAGGAATTTTGATGTGGATGAACTCTGGTGCCGCAAGGCAACGGCGGGCACTTGACAAACATCATTGAATTCGAACACGAGTCCACAAGACGCATATATCCGTCAGATCCGTTCAGGTAAGGACCTGAGAAGTCGTTTGCAGACACACGGACCATTTCTATTTTAGGCGTTACTCTGAAAGATATATCAATGTTGATATCTATCGATATCGAGCATCGCACTTTCGTTGTTAGTAGTCGTTGCTAAATATTCTCAATTAAATTTAAGATGATAAGCGATGTAAGTTTAAAGACATACGTTATAGATTGACCGGTTTCAGACGTGCAAGCATCCATCGCCCAAAAAGTTTCGCCCGAACACACGGGATACCATTGACCTCGTACATTCTTATGAAGATATCCCTCCGTGTAACTGATCGTAGATATCTAAAAGTGATAAGATATGATGATGTGCGATTAAAATGTCGCTGAGCGATGGGAGAAAGTGATTGAGAAAAAATTAATTAAAATTAACACTTTTTGTTTTCATACATCTTTCCCATCTATATACGACGCCGAAAGTATATTGCAATCTAGTTCATCCTTTCCGTTGTGACATTGTTCTACTCCGTCACAACGTTGGGAAAGCGGCACGCAATTATCATAGCTGTGACGTCGATTCCAACCGTCACAGCTGAAAGAGTCATCGGGACAAGCTAAAAATTCAACGATTGTGAGTAGAGTTTCAGCAAGTTGAACATTCGATCGTATCATATCTAGTGTTTTTACAACAAAGTTAAACTTTGTTGTAGAAAAATGTGCTGTAAATTTCGTGAATGTACGTTATACATTAAATGTGCTGCAAATTTCGGCAAATCTGCAAACTCGTAGATTTGTAAATTACTAAAATGATGTTTCGTATTAGGCGCTTGTATATCCGGTAAGTTCACTCTTCGTGGGTAAAGCAGCTCGCATAAACGCAGCTAGTATTTAGCGTCATCTGGTGGACATTCGTAATACAATATTGCAAAAGAAAAATCTATTACGCTCGTCATTTATTACAATTTGAGCAACGCACATACACGCGCGCACAATTATTAAACACTGAAATTTGTGTTTCTTTTATAAATATCGACTTTTAATAAAAACGATGGAAGAAGAGATGTGGCGCTCAATTGGACAATTAGGTTTCTACTGTATCGTACACATTTCCACTATTACTTTAACATACTCTTTTTGATATAATAGTTGATATACCGCGTATACGCACGCAGCGTATAAAGCTAAGGTTTATTTTAGCTGCTTTATGAAACAGTGCGAGAAGATGTTGCAAATCCGGAACAGAAAAAGTAGAGAGAGAGAGAGAGAAAGAGCGAGCGAGTTTTTCAATAAAATATTCACAGCTTACGGAAACAGCCAGTCTCATCCTCTCCGTGAGGACAATCAAGATAACCGTCGCAAAGTCGATCACGGGATATCCGGTCTTTACAGGAACACATGGTTTCGTCGCTGGCATCGGCGCAATCCACACGACCATCGCACCATTTTATTTTTAAAATACAATATCCATCGCTAACACATCGACGAGAATTTAACGGGCAGACACTGTAATATTCTGAAACAATTATCATGTCGTTCAAGACGACATGTTGTCATTCGTAATTTCTTCCAGAAAATCGCAGCTCGACTCAAATTTTTTCAACATGGATGCCCTCATGCTCTGTTGGTAAGTGGAAATTTTTCTTACCTGGATTGTATAGAGAGCCGGCAGACAAGATCTTGTTGACTCGCTTGGAGGATTGTTCCGATGCTTCCGCTTCGTTGGACGAGGAGCGAGCAAAATGCGACGTGTCGAAAATCGGTGAAAATGGTGATGTCAATGCCGAAATGCAAAAGTATCGCGCGCTAAAGGGGATTGATTGCTGCTGATTCAGTGAGATATTCGATACAGTGAATCCCGTGGGATCGACATCTGGTCCCGTCGGCTGAAGTCGCGTAAAATTGTCAGGGTAATTCAATCTCATCATGAATTGCATTGCGTTTTGCGATTGCGCTTGCTCTTGCACATAGTTTGGTATTGAGGAGGAGGAGGAGGAGGAGGAGGAGGAGGAGGAGGACGAGGATGAGGACGAAGACGACGACGGTGAATGCCCAGAGGCCCGAAGGATATG